CAATAGGCCCAGCCGGGCACAGGCACGGGCCTGGCACACCGCACCAGCCAGCCGGTGGCGGCCGATGGGGCGCCCACCCACCTCCAAGATCAGCACGTCGTTGAGCTTCTGTTCTGGGTCGTAGCTGTTGGTGAACTGGCGGACGGCGGAGAGCTTCTGCTGGCTGGGCTCCTCCTCCCGCAGGTTGTGGGCCCCGAGCACCACGTCCACCAAGGCGAGGGGTCTGGAGGGTCACGGCGCTCATCGCGGGCCCCCACATCCCATCCCCCCATCCTCCCCGGCAGCCTGAGGCTCAGGGCACAGCCACCTCGGTGACACCCCCCCAGACCTGGGGCAAGGCCACCCCCCCCCAGACCCGGGGCAGTGGGGCACGCACAAGTTCTGCAGGCAGTGGGCCGCGGTCAGCACAAATCTGGGGTGGATCAAGGTGCCCCCGCAGAAGTGGTTGCCTATCACCTGCAGTGACGCCATGTAGGGCCGCGAGTGTGGCTCGGCTTCCCGGCCCCCCACGATCTCGGCCGCCTGCGCTGCACCTGGGGACATGTGGCGTCAGCGGCCCTCCCCGCAGCCCCCTCCCCAGGAGGGCAGCTCTGGGCTTCGCCCATTTTACAGATGGGGAAACTGAGTCGAAGTCCCAGAGCTCCCCCTCGCTCCTTCCCTCCCCTGAGAGCACTCAGCCCACGCGTGTCCTGCCCAGGTCCTGCCTCAGTCTCCCCGTCTGCGCCAGGAGGGCGCTGGGCTGGTGTTGTGGGTGGACATTCCCCAGAGTCAGCAGCATGTGAACAGGTGGACAGGCGGACACGTGGCCCCACTCACCAGCCAGCAGCACGGCCAGCAGGACTGAGGCCAGGGCAGGGCTGGAGGGCCTGTGGCTTGGGGTCATGGTCGGGCAGGGCTCCGGTTCCCCTGCCGGCCACCCCCTCTTATAGCCCGACACTTGGAGGCCGTTGGGGTTGCCCCATGCCCGGGCTGAGCGCCCCACTTCCTCCTTCCATCTCTGTGGCCACCAAGAGCTGGGGGTTGAACCACACTCCAGGGGCATGCGGGAGGGACCGGCTCAGGGTCCCCCGGACAAGGGGCAGCATGACGCAGCCCTCGGAGGGGCACACACACCACGCTCCATGTTTCCCCATTGGGTCCCTGTGGCCCCAGCCAAGCAGGACGTGGCCGGCGTGTCCAAGCCCTGGGGTGAGTCCCAATCGTGGGGACCGAAAAAGGGACGGGAAAAGCAGGGGGCCACAGAGCCGTGTGCCCTCCTGAGACCTGCGAGTTCTCGCACCAGTGATTCTGCCCTGAGGGGCCACTGGGACAGGTCTGGGGACGTCAGCAGTGGTCACACTGGCATCGAGTGAGGGGGCCGGGGTGCTGCTCAGCCCCCACAGTGCCCAGGACGGCCCCACGGAGAGCGACCCGCCCGGACGTCCACGCCGCTGGGACTCGGTTAATTTGGGAAAAACCTGAGTTCCCTCCCTACTCACAGGAGACACCAGAATAAGTCCCCACGGTCACAGGGGACAAACCAAGGTGGCCCCCATGTCTGAGTCACCTCCTCCCCTCCCACTCAGGCTCCGTGGTTAACTGTGTGCAGCCTCCCAGGACCTCAGAGGCACCAGTGACAGCAGAGTCTCCTGGGACCCGTGGTAGCCCCCGCCCCCCCGGGGTTAAGGACCGGGGCGCTGGGGCCAGTGCAACTGGACGGACCCTGAGGACATGACACCCAGCGACAGGAGCCGGACACACGGCGCGTGACACGTCCAGAGCAGGCACGTCCACACACAGGAAGTGGACTCGGAGTTGGGGGGTGGGTGGGAGAATGTTCTGGAACTGGATAGAGGTCGTGGTTCCATAACAGGTACCACTTACGTGGGTGAGTCCTGTGGTTTACAAAGTATATTTCAATAAAGCTTTAACCAAAAGAGGAAAATGCAGGTGTGCCGGATGACTCACCCACCAAGGGGATCCTTCCTGCAGGGCGGGGGGCGGTCCAGAGGCCCCACAGGCCTGGGGCAGGCAGGAGAGTTCAGGGGGGCCTGCCTGGAGGTGGAGGCAGCGGGGGAGGGGGAGGGCGCCTGGCTGGTGTAAGCGGGGAGCGGGAGAAGGTGATTGTAACAGGCAGGGAGCCCTGTGGGCTGGGGGTCGGGCTGGCAGGTGGAGGGGAAGTTGGGGCTGGAAGCTGTGGCCTCGGCCCCTTCCCACTCCAGCTGTGGGTGGTGCAACCAGCAACGGCCACGAAGATGGGTCACTGGGACGTGAGCGCGGAGGCCGCGGGGGGCCTCAGCCCCTCCGGTCCCTGTCTTTCTCTCTGTCCCTTCTCTTCGAAAAAGAAAAACACTCTTTTCTTGACTGTGTCAGTGTGGGGGGCTCCAGGCTGGGGGAGCACGTGCTCTTGGGCCTCAGTTTCCTCATGTGAATGAGGAGCAGGCAGCGACTTGACCTAAGTCGCCACTGGGCCCCTGGGTGGGTCTGGGCGCCTGAGCCAGTGGCATCGCCCTGAGGCCCACGTCACAGCTCGGCAGAGCGCTGCCCCCTGGTGTGGCTGGGGGAGCGAGGCCGCCGGCGCCCCAAACGCAGATCCCCCTGCGGCTCGAACAGGCACAGTGTCTTCCTCACCTCATCCTTAACCTTCAATGTCTGCCCTCGCGTGGGCCAAGAATCTAAGGGACACATCAATGTCCCCCCACCACGGCTCCTGCCACCGGGATGACTGGAAAGCCTCACACATCCCCGCCCCTCGGCCCCCAAGAAAACTGACTGGTACTCCTGGGCTTCTGGGCGCCCCGCCTGCAGCCGAGAATGTCACACACGCACGCTGCTCTGCCCCCCGTGTCCCGTGAAGACCCCACAGGTCACTGAACGAGGCGCCTCCACCGTTACACAGCCGCGAAGTGCTTCCCCAGGTGGGTGAACCAGACTTCGTGCACTTTGTGGTCACCTCCTGGGGACGCTGGATCATTTTTAGGCTCTTTTCCTTCCAGCCACGTGGCAGGAACGATCCTTGTACCCTCATCCCCTGCATGGTGCAAAGTGACAGGTGGGGCAAAGCCAGGTGTGGCGCTGCCGTCTCAGAGGCGCAGATCCACCCTGCCAGGGGGACCCGGCTACCTGCCCACCCAGGCGGACGCCCAGTATTCTCAAAGGACTTTTGCACATCCCACAGGTCGAAAAAAAACGGGATCTTCAAGCGAGTTAGCTCCCGTTTGTCATATAATGAGTCCGTGTCTTCAAGATTCTATGGTCTTTTTCTTTGTGAACTGTTTACTTTTTTACACATGTTTACATTGCTGGGCTATGTTTCGTTCTTCTTGATTGTTGGGTGCTCTTTATATATTAAATTTACTATAATTCTATCAGTGACTACATACATTTAACTATACATAAACATGTAATGTGATATGTTACAAATAATGACATTGCTTAAATTTTTACGTTAATAAAACATTTAGTTTAATAAACGGTATTATGTAATACAGAGTTCTACTCCTGTATTATTTCCATGTAACTATTTCTGATTCACCGTTGCGGTTCGGTCCTCGGCGTGAGGCTCGCCAGCCTCGGCCGTGCAGGCGGCGCAGTCTCTGGCCAGTGTCCCGTGGGTGCCTTTCCGCTTTGCTGCACGGCATATTCTCAAGCCAAGTGAGAGGTGGCTAAGGGGGTCGGGCCCTCACAGACTGGGGCTCAGCACGCGCACTAGCTGAGCCTCCCCCGCTGAGCCTCGGAGCCGCTCCGGCCGGGTTCTCACGGCTGCCCACGGTTCTCGAGAGCGGCCAGCGGATCAGCGAGGGAGAGTAGGGTGCGAAAGTCACCAGCCTGACCTGCGCTGCCCGCAGCCCTCGGGCCCTCTCCGTCCACAGCCGTCGCCCCCGTCTCCAGATAAGGAGACCGAGACTCCCCAGGGCCCGCTTCCCCTCTCTGGGGTTCCCATTTCCCTCTCGAAGCCCCTCACCCCTCCCAGAGACCCCTCCCCTGCTCATCGGCCAAGCAACACCCTATGGATCCTGAGCTTTCTCCCTCTCTGCGACCCTTCCCGCCCTGAGCTCCCCCACCTCGCAGGCCCCTCTGTGCCCCCCCCAGGCCTTCCCCTAGCCCCAGGGCACCCTCTGGCCCCATAGCCCCCTTCTGGTGCGCCAGGCCCCCTCCTCACCAGTTCTTGGGAGCAGCTGGAGGTCATGGTCAGCACAAAGGTGGCCCAGGCCCCGTGCATCCCTTCTGGGACTGCTCAGGACTGGTCTGGCTGTGTGGCCTGGGCCCGGGGAGCAAAGACTGGGCCCCTGGTCCCTTCCACCTGTGCCTCTCCCCCTGTGGCTGGACCCCCAGTGGATATAGGGACTCCTGGCCTGGGCAGACACTCAGCAGCCTTGGAGGTTACCAGCAGGCCGGCCAGCAAGGCCAGGAGCCTGAGTGCCGGCATGGCAGGGCGGCTGTGGGTGGCCGTGGACGGGCACCCTCATACCCCGGGCCTCAGCTGGGAGGCGGCAGCACTTCCCACCCAGGCACAGAGCCAGACCCTCCCCATCTGTGCAATGGGGATACGAACAGCGTCCCCCCTTCGCATAGAGCTGGGGTGAGCATCACTGGGTTACTATGAGCAAGTTTCTGAGCAGCACCCGGCATGCTCTGCCCCTGGTGCCCGCTCTAACCTCTCCCACGGCTCCCTCGGGCCCCAGACTCAGACCTGGGCCCCCACCTGGGCGATGTGCCACCAGAGCCGGTCCCGCCCCATCCCCACCGCCGGAGGCTCCCCCATCCTGATATTTCTCCGGACCCTCTTCCGAGCCCTCCAGCTGTTAGGAGGGTCCCCCGGGAGGCACCCCAAAGTGATTGCCCCATTTCCCTCGCTCCCGAGGCTCCCAGAGTGCGGCCGTTTGTGGTCATCTTTCGACACCAGATTCCCAACGGCTGCCCAGGCCACCCCTCGGGCCGGGAAACCAAGGCTGGTCCAGCGCCAGGCCTGGGGAGGCGGGGCAGCAGCGCCGGGCGGCCTCGGCGGGAGCCCTTCTTAAACCCGATCCAGCGGCCACTGTCACTGGCAGCATCTTCTTTGGAAAACGTGGAGCTGAGTCTTTTGGGCCACAGCTGCGGGGGCGGGGGCGGGGGAGAGATGGAGCGTGAACGCTGAGACCAAAGGCGAGCTCCATAATGCAGCCCTCACCCCAGCTCTAACCAGCCGCAAGCATGGGGGGGACTCTTCAGGGGCAGGTATAAGGAGGTGATCAGGCGATGGTGAATAAATGAACCCAATACAATCCTGCCCTTGGGGGCCTGGCGACGTCGGTCGCTGGTTTAAGTTCCCTGGGCCTCAGTTTCCCCACTCGTCGTAAACCGAGGGCTCGGCCAGTCCCCACGCCGCAGGGCTGTGTGTGGAAATGCCGGTAAACATCAAGGGCTGCCTACTCCGCGCG